AGAGAGGAGCCCTGAAGAAAAGATACGAAGACTCCCTGAAACAACATCTCAGCCTTGGCCATATTGATCACCATAACTGGTCTACTCTGGCCTCCAATCAGGAGACCTGGAGACACACCATCTATAACACTGCTGATGCTTTTGAGAAGGCACGCAGGATCACTCTTGAGGAGAAAAGACAACACAGAAAGAATCGTGTCTTGCTGAATATACCACCTAAGGAGTCTTTCTGCTGTGCCTTTTGCAATTGGATATGTCTATCTCGTATTGACCTCATTGGCCACCAGCGTGCTTGTAACAAACATGGATAGAGCCTTCCTAAATCTTTGTTTGTGAAGCCCAGCCATGATGGTGCTGCCAGCACCAACCTCCTGCCAGTGATGCTACCTTATGTACCAAGTATTTTCCTAACCCTTATGAGGATTCAGTAATATAGTTGGTTTACAACACACCACACCAACTGTATAGAGACCATGTTAGTTTTTTGACTGCCAGCCAAGGAAGGCTACCCTGAGGGCAGATTATTGGGAAAGCATGTGTAATTCTGAAAATGCTCTTTAGTCACAGAGTGGGGGAAGTTTGGCATCTTATATTTAGGGAGAGTGCATTATTGATGTGATTCTTTTCATATCAGTGGAATTACTAAAGCAATTATAAAAGCTCAATATATCTTCATAAGAGTCTGCTGTTTTCACTGTTGACCAAAAGAATCTGTCTCAGTCTGTAAGGAAGGAGGAGGATGACTGACATTACCCTATAAGCCTCTTAATTTCTGACGTATAACTTTTATCTTTCAGCAATTTGAAGCAATTAATTTCCTCCATTTGAACACCTATGATCAAGTATATATATGTTATTATTATAAGGTAGTTGACAATAATATTTAAGTGAAAGCTATATTTCCTGTTTTTTCAACAAAGCTGTGCCATTCTTACATAGCACCCAAGTGCCATTTAGAATTGGAGAAGGAATCCTAGGAAACTGGAAAATTTACATCAGTGAGAGCTGATTTAAATTCTCACGGATTTTTCTTACAACTTGACTCTCTTCGGAAGCCTTTTAAATGATGTTTCATGAAGTTGTGACGAGTACAGATAAATCTTTCATTTATCTTCTGTTCTGCATATAGTTTGCTATAGATGGATGAAGTCTTCTGTTCTTTACTTAGAGCAATGTGATAGAATTTGGACAGTTGGGATATTCAATAAACATGATTTCAGTACTGACAACCCAGATCACCCCTTCTGTTTCAGTATCTTATCTGATTTTTTTCTCCTTTAAATTTTTAATTTGGAAGATAAAATTCAAGCAGTAGGGTAGTTTCTGTGGCCTAACAGTAGAGCAGCTAAGAGTTTTATCTGTTCAGAGTTGATTTAACCATTAAAATCTTTGGTAAACATTTTATGGACTCTGTAAGAATGTTTGTTTTTCAGTTTGAACCACAAAGATGCAGGAGTACTTGAAAAAATACCAGCCAAAGCACAGATTTAGTAACTGCAAAGTAACTTGCATATTTCGAAACCAGAAGGAATCCAGAATGAATTATGTTGCTTAAAGGCCTTGAGGCTGTACTTCATAAACAGATTTTTTCCATGGGGTTCCCTGGCACCACCTCAGCCATCAGAATATTCAACAACAGCCATCTCACAAACTGCTGTGGGGATCTGACCTAGTCTGTGGGATAATTTTTTATTGAAAGGGTTGCTACAAGGTAGAACAATTCCCTTATCTACCTCACTCTCACCACAATCATTTTACACTGCAGTTAAGCCCTAATTCTAAGGGCTCCTATGTACCTGAAGAATTCCTCTGCCTTCCTGTCTGTCTTAGCCTCTAGCTTTGTGCTTTACTTTTAGGTAGAATGGTAGATAGTTTCATCCATTTACCTTGTTTAATACATGGGCTTTCATACATATAATTACTTTTAGAGAACAGAAATGTGGCTACTTAGCTCGTTTGTTGCTACAGAAAGCCACATACATGTTTTTAAATTTTTTTTAAGTGGGGCATATGTTGACAGGTATAGGAGAAATAATGCCAGGCATTGTTCCTTGTGCTAGCTGCTGCTGTAAATGAATGTGTTTATCCTGAACTGAAAAATAAAACTGATCAGACAAAATCAATGGCATTTTTGCCTGAACAAAGTTTTGTGTTATTGGTCTAAGTGAAACCCCTCCTGCTCCATAAGACCTATATGTCTTAATACAATAAATCTGTAATTGTCAAAAAAACTCCACATACTTTTCCCATTTCTTTTGAAACAAATGTGTACTGCTTCATATCTGATTAGAGCAATCTGTTTTATTAGCAATTAGCTGATCTGTCTTGTGCGACCACCCCAGGGGCTGCTCTTGCTTCTTTTCCAGCATTGGTTTTAGGCACAGAACAGTGGATGACGGCAATGGTTGGGTATGGGCACCACAACCGCCACAATCCACTGCCAGATTAGGCCATGTGATCCCAGACAGTCCCATGTGAGGCTCTTCTGGTGCAGCATCTGGGGTTGTGTGAGAGCAGGAAACTGGGAAGGCCCTCAACACAGGATGGCTTCTCCCTCCTGCCCTGCATGTGGAACAGTTTGGGAATGGACTGAATAGTGACTCATTGCTGCTTTTGTTTTTGTTTATCTGATGTCAGAAGGTCAGGTGAGACTAAGAATTAGGTGTAGTTGCAGGATGAAAACCAGAAAGTGCAAAAGTCTGTTTCTGGTCAGTCAATGTCTTTTGTTGTATGAAATGCCATACATGTACATGTATGGACATGGAAAGAGAAAATATTCATATGTGGACAATGTGAGCATGACAATGCAATGACAGTCATCTGGTCCAAATCTCACCAAGGCTAATGAAGTAATTATAAAAGTAAAGTGAATGAGAACCAGACCAGACAGCATAAAGAACCATCTATAGTAAGAGCTGAGAGTTCAAATCTGTATAAAAAAGTTCTTTTATTCTGAACAAACCCTAAAGTTTCATTAAATAAAGGGTTCAACATTAAAAGGTTGGGCAACCAAGCATCTGTGAGGAGAAGCACATCAAAATCTGTAATATCTGCTTCCTTGCATTAAACAGAAATATTTAAAACAATTCCTAGCTAGTAGTTTATACCATCACAGTTGTTAAAATGTGACATAATCCCCTCTCTAATAAAGCAATTCAAAAGCAGAAAGTTAAAAAAGACCATAAAATAAAAGTAGACTGTGAGGATTTACAATACAAACACTATCCACTGCTGGAACCACAAAACAATTAAAACTTCTCTCTGGGATGACTTTTCTTCCTCCTCTAAGTTCTCTCCCTTTATTTTACATCCAGTTAGCTTCCTATATCTGTTACTTGAGGGCATCTACAGTGCAAATGCTCTATTTCTCGGAGGTATATAAAATTATATATGCGGAAGGTCACATCTGCTCCATTCTGCCCAATATCATCTCAGACTACATTTTGCTTTTGCCTTTTCTGTCCCACACTGGCGTTTTGGCAGAGAAAAAGCATCTGCTTCCCTAGTGCCCTCACCTCATTTGATCTCACAGTCTCTGAAGTATCAGAAGACTGATGTGAAGTTATGATAGCAGGAAATGTGACCTCTTGGTATTTATGCCTTGGAAACTGCTGTCCACTTCACAGTTTCTGGTACCTCGCTTGAGCATTAATCTATTAACAAGCTGTGTTTGGAGACCAATTAATACAGTTTTGTATTATTAAGTAGATGACATGTTTGTCCCATTTGTATTAATAAGGCTTTTAAAAATGCTTCTAACGGGACTCCCTGAAGCGTGGGAGTGGTATAATTCGCAAATTTTCTACATATATAGACATAATCCCTCAGAGCAACTAAATAGTCAACAGCTTTGAAAATTAGGCTACACAGATTGTAGATTGATATCTAACTATGGTGCTGCAAATATCCCATACACCTGTTTCTGAAAATTTTGAATCTTTTATATGTAAACTTTGCAACATCTGTTTTCATTTATTATTTTAGGGTTCTAATGAAATTTTCTTCCATGGTCACATCTTATCTCTTCAGCCTGTGTCCCTATTTCATCTAGTATGTCCATTAATAGCCTGAGGAAATAGCCTGAATATTTTATATAGTAACAAACAGACATAAATTACTCTAAACTAATATATGTTGCTATAAGTCATATTTCTTCATCCTTCAGCACTGAAAGCATGCATCTTCTTTTGACATTAGATTTTTGTATGCTTCCTAAATCCAACACAGATGCAGCTCTTGGAAAAATAGAGTTTAGATAGGTCTTAGATTTTTTAGAAATAAAATAAGCTAACAGGAACAAACAGATTTGGTAGCTGAGTCTAAACAAAAAAGTGATCCCTTCTGCTCCTCTGGAAAATGTGTCACGGGCAGGAACCACAGAAGTTTTGTCATCCTTTTGAATTCAGTAATATGATAAATGCTAAAAGGATCTGTAGTCAATAGAGCTAAGAATGATTCAACCCAACACAAAATATTTATACATGTAAAATATAACACTGAATTACTGAACTCAACTTTAAATTAAATGATGTTGCTTTGGGAGGACAATTCTTCTCACACTTCCTACATGATCACCAAACAACCTTGGCACTTTTCTTCAGTGTATCTGTTTTGACACTTAATTATCTGCTATGATACCCAGAAATTTCACTTTAACAATGCTCAAACTAAAAATTAATCCTCTCTCCCCCATTATTTTCTTCTGCCTCTTTGCCTGACAAGGGACAAGGAAACATTACAGAAGAAAGCAGTGCCAGAACTCTCAAGATCAAGGGCTAATTTAATGGGGAGCTTAACTGCTACATGCATTGGAATACCAATGATCCAGAAGATCCCAGATGAAAAGCAACTTTTTTAAAGTGAGATATTCACTGGTACAGGCTGAAGGAAAATATGTGAATGTTTTCATTATTGTTGGCCTTATTTTCTTGATTTCATTTTCAAAATGGATTGCACCATGGGCTGCAATGCAGAATACTTTTCAACTCAGGTCCCCTCACCTTGCAATTCTGCCCTTGTTCAGTATAGAGGTATGGTGAACAGCTGAAGCTGGGTCCTTCCTCAGAACGCCACGCATAACCTGGCCTGCTGTGTTCTTCCAGACAAAATAAAACCTGTTAAGGACAGTCAGGTTCAAATGTAACTCACTTGACTTTAAGCAAATTCTCAGCATGAATTTCTGTTTTGTGTTTTCTCAGAAGAAAGTTCAACTGGAGACATGTAGCCTATTTTTGCCTTTCCCTAGTGTTTAAGAGAGCAAAGATTACAATTTTCAGAAAGAGATGAACTATCTTAGCTTTCAGTATCTCAAATTAAGGTCTGAGAGAATCTTGAAGACTTTCTATAAGCTCCTTCTTTAAGATCAAAGGGAAAAGATTAAGGGCAAAAAGGGGAGATGTGATTTAAATGTCCTGTTTGTTGTTTGAGTGTCCCTTGCAGTAAACTTTCTTCACTAACAATGTGTGCGTTTGCAGAGCTTCACTCATATACCTTAAGCAATCAAATTCATTATTTTTGCATGCATTGCCTTGAAACATGACTAGAGACAAGACTTGAGGAAACAGCATGAAGCTGAGTCAGGGGAGGTTTAGGTTAGATAACGGGAAAAGGTGTTTCACCCAAAGGGCGGTTGGGTGCTGGAACAGACTCTCCAGGAAGTGATCACAGCACCAAGCCTGTCTGAGTTTAAGAAGTGTTTGGACAATGCATTCAGGTACACGGTGTGATTCTTGGAAGGTCCTGTTCAGGGCTAGGAGCTGGACTCGATGATCCTGATGGGTCCCTTCCAATTCAGCATATTCAATGATTCTATGCAATCCTATTTATTAACTCCAAATTTAATTTTAACTCACTTTCTCACTCTTCATGTCCTTAGAATGTTTTCAGAGTATAAGCAATTCCTTAGAACAACTTTATTTAACAAATGAAGTTGCTCTTTTACTTAAAAAGGTCTGCATGCAGGTTCCCTTCTTCCTCCAGACTTTTTGGGCTTGTTTATGCACCTCTGGGGCTTATCTCAGCCTAAGGAAAAATGTTTTCCTTCAAGTGTCTCCTGAAAATTTTGACAGCAAATCACTGGCACTCCCAGAAAAGAAGGAGAATCTGAAGGCTGAAAATTCTCAGAATTCAATAGGACTTTTCTCTTCATCTATCACCCACACTTGCACTGCTCCCAAGATCTGGGGAGAATGAACAGTCAGAGGTTATCCAGAATTCCTTCCAGCAGAATGAAGCCACCGGGGAAGCTCCATCCTTTTCTAAGCGAAAAGGGAGTGATAATCTCCAAGTCACTCATCGCTTTAGGAGACACTTCAGAGATTCACAGCTCTTGCATTTCTTATGAAAACCCTGGAATGTAGATGTAACAGCTAATGGATTACTGAACCCCTGAGCATCTGGTAATCTAATGCTGTGGTTAGCCCTTTCGAATTGCAGTGAGCACAACTGTGCAGTAAGGAATTGCTCTGAATTTCCTCCCTGCTCAAAATATGATGTACCCAAAACCTGCTGAAGTCAAAAAGAGGTGTGCGGAAAAAGGATACTTTGGTTAGATCCCAGAGCCATGCCACGGCCTTCCAACTTTCAGGTTACTCAATAGAAGTCCTCTCTTTTGTGATGTTCTGTTTTATTGTCCATCCCTGTTACAACTGATTTTTGTGACCTTTGTTTCTGCTATTTGTGTCATTAAGTTCTGAAAGTAGGAACATTTTCCTTCCTTAATAAATTGCTGCCTTACAGCACCAAATGTTGAGACCTCTTCTGTACTTGACACTCTCTTCTGGCCAGCAAAGGCTCTTTCATGTTTTCATTGTAGGAAATCACAAATCAATAGACTACCTGAACTTCATAGAATAATGTCAATTTTTCGTTTTACTGGGAGGCTGGGATGACAAGACATTACAAAACCCTAAAGAACCTGAAAATAACACCACAAAGCAGCCTGAACTCTTTAAAAATAAATTTTTGAAGGTTTTTAATGCCTTATTTAATACATGGGCTACCCCCTTATGAAGAAGAGATGTACTACTATTTTCTAGGCTTCATGTGGGAGTGTAACCCAGGACACAGTGACGTTAGTGATCCTCTTGGGTGGAGTAATAAGAAAAGAAACTTAAGTGAAGTCCTGGCTGCTTCACTCTAGCCACAGAATAAATAATTCATGTATTTCAATGCTGTATATTATCTTCTGTCCCTAATCCAGTGTGGCCTAGTGTAAGAAAATCATGTTGTAGCAGACAAATGAGGTGGCAGGGGATTCGAATGAAGTATAATGAAAAAATAGCAACATAGGTATAATATGAATAAGTGGAAATTAAATATGTACATATGCACATAAATATGTGCAATTTTAGATACATATGAATATGTAAACGTAAACCTATATAAATAGGTTTGTAATTCACTGAAGCCTTTTCTTTTGAGACCTTTAGGGATTTACAAGGATAAATTATTAGGATATTTTGCAGTGAATTGTTTCTCAGTCAAAAGTGTTTTGGGCCTGGTCTAAGGGAAGACCCAACTTTACAGGTTCAAATTCAAACAGATATACTAATGGAGAACTTCTTATGGTCACTTGTATAATACAGGTTTGCCATAATTTCAATTATGATGTGTTACATATTTTTGTACCGTGATGAACGTGAGGTTGATAGAATGAAAGGACATAGCTAAACATCTGTTATACATTTGCATTTGAGGTGTGAGCATGAAAATAATTCATTTTTCATATTTCACCCTGTGTACTGGTGACACAATTCTGATTGTATTATAGTCTTCTGTATCTCAAAAGTGTAACTCCACTGTTTCTTCATATTCCAGGTCTGATTCTAATTTCATGCTGCTCTAAATTAGGTGTTGACCCATTAAAATGAAGGATTAGATCCTGATCTCATTGTGTGTAATCTGAAGGTAGTCTTGCAATTCAAGAAAGCAACTTTGAAATTTTATAAGGTAGCTGTAACCAGATCCAGCTCCAACTGCCTGTGTATGTAAAAAGCCGATATAAAAGACAGCCCAGTCAAGTCTGTGTTATTTGTTCCTTCTCTGGAAAATAGTTGATAAATTTATGTTTGTTTTTAAAAATGATCAGTGATCTTCCAATAAGAGTCAGTCATGCTGAGCAATTAGCTTAATGCTGAAGGAATAATCATTGCTTGAAGCACTTCCCAGCTGATACTTACAATGAATTCCTTCTTTTTTTTACTTCAGATTCCTCATACTTCCGGTTTTAATGGAGAAATTCTGATATGTGCTAGAGTAGACATCAACAATAATATTTAGGGGCCCAGAGGACAAATTTCTATTTTGGGAGAAACGTAAATTAAAAAGTATGTGTCAATTAATGAGCAAAACCCACAAAATCATAGAATAGCTCAGTTTTGAGGGACCTTGAGAGATCATTTGGTTCAAATCTACATGGGAAAGGGGGCCTATATGAGATTATCTAGGATACTCTCCAATTGCATCTTGAAAACCTACAGTGATTGAGGACTCTACTGGTTCCTGGTGAGGTTGTTTCAGTGAATGATTGTTCTCACTGTAAAAAATGTCTTTCTTATGTCAAGATCAAATGTCTCCGGGTGACAAAATTTCTACTTCTCCTACTTCTAGCAGGCAATGGATGCACTATCACTATGTTTTAGCAGACCTCTTTGGAAAGGTTTGCTGATGCCAGAGAACTCAGCTTCACTGAGAGCATTGGTCTGAACAGAGTCCTTCATTCACTTGATAAAACAGATTACCTGCTCTCACTCTTTAGTCTTGAATTTCTGACTAAATTACGGTGGTTTAATTAAGTTATTCCTGGTCTAACACTGGGCTAGAAGCATAATAGAAATGAATTTTATGGAAAGCCACCACTCTAATCTGCATTTAGAGAGAATCACCCACTACTAAAAGTCTCCTTTACTAAGCCTAAGTCTGTACATATTCAAGGTTACATCCCACATTTTTTAGAGAAACATTTCACCAATGATCTTAAGTATTATGACTGAAAGCCATATATTCTATTTATTTCTGCTATCAAAATCTATCTTTCAAGACAAACTTCTAGATTTCCTGTCTTTGTTTGTTTTTAACAGGCAGTGATACTTTGATCACTGGGATTGTTAGAAGCAAGTCTCCTGAATTGTAATTTATTTCTACTCCTATACATTTTTAGTTACTCAGAAGAACTACAAATTTTAAATCTTTATTGTTATAGCAACTACATAGTGAATTTAGATGATTGTTCACTGGGTAGTGTAATAGAAAAGATCCCAATCAGTATGTGAAGCTGAGGTAGTGGCCATCAGAATACCATAGTCTCCATATATTCTATATATGATCCACACTCAAAATCAGAACACCATGTTAAATTGAAACATCTCAATGTATGAAAAAGCAAATATTACAGCAAGTTGTCAATTGATAATATGTAATTAAAAGCAGTTTTGAAAGTCTATAGTAGCAATTTTAATTTAGGGGAAGAAAACTCAACATTCACAAGGTTACTAAAAGGCTCTTATTTTTAAGATTAATATCCATATTAAAAAAACAAAAACCACAAACCAACCAACCAAAAAAAATTCCAAGTGAGTTTATGCAGAAATATATATTTTTGTAAACTATGTAGCATTTGTGTATTCAAGTATATCTAGCTAAAAAAGTGATTACTTTCTTTATCTCTTCATTACTAGAATGAACTGAAGCTATTTGCAACTTTCATAGGGGAAATATTCTAGATAATTAAAATGAATGCATTCCACTTATCACTTTGCAACTGCTGACAGTCTTGAGGAAATGTATCAAGAATGAATGGATAACATTGCTTTTGAATGGATAAGGCAATGCGATTCAATTCTCAGCCATCTTCTTCTTCTTAATGGCTGGAGTGGGATTATTCATGTTCTAAAATTAACTAATAAACCGATGTACATGAGTTGCCTGAAAACTGCTTTTTTTCTGAATCTCTAACATAGACATTTAAAATATATATAGTTACACTGAGTAAACGCAAGTTATGTGAGATAACTCATGTGACAGAGATTGGATTTTGTGAGAACCAAGTAGCTGGCAGGAACAAACTCTCTGTTTGCATTTGTACAGTTTCCTAAATCTCTTGATTTTTGGTAAATGACTGACTACCTCTGACATGACTAACGGAAATGGTAATATTTAATCTGTATTTACATAGACATGTTCAGATTGAACGATCTCAAAGAGAAGTAAAGATAGCAGGATAAAATAACTGCTGTTTTCTGATGGAAAATATTTGTTTTCCTTCAAATTATAGGAACTTCTAAATGTTTACAGCAACAGGTTATAAAATAAGGCAGAAGTTACATTTCAATCTGCTTATCCAAATCATGGATCTTATCAAAATATCACTTGAGATATTGTATTACTTGTGAAGAAATCCCAAAATATTACCTTAAAATTTTTCTCATAGTTTAAAAAGGCGTGATCTGGGCTTGCTGTTATGTCACTTGAGGAAGGAAAGGATAATGCATTTTCTGCTAACAAGAAGAAAAGAAGAAAAAAAAATAGTGTTTAAGACGTATTCAGACTAATTTACAAAGTCAACACTAATGAAGCATAGGGCCTATATACTAAATGTAAATAATGTTCTACCTAATGTGAAGATATGTTTACTGTACCACAATCCATAAAATTGCTCAGTGAATTAAACAAAGGGCTTGACTCTGTGAAGAGCCCACTTTTAAGATGCAATATTTTACTCTAATTCCCATGAGACTGATTGATTACCAGCAGTGTAGTAAAGAAAACATAATTACAAGAGTTCTAAGATCACATCTTAGTTTTAAGAGATGGTGAAGCACATACAGGCAGTTAGGATCTACTGTCCCAACAAACCACAACCTCCTCTAGCAATGCCAGAAATATTTTCAGTTGCTGCTAACTAATTCACCAAACCATGCAGTATGTTTATCTTGTCTAAATACTGGCTTTACCATTATTTTACTTTTACCATCACTTATTTGTTGGATTGAAAACTTTTGATTTTCACTGGAAAAGATGTAGCATTTTTATAAACATAAATTACTTTCAGTGAACAAAGGATTGACAGTCATAGAGAAGCTATCTGCTGCCCAAGACAGTGACAAGACAAAAAGTTCTATACTTAATTTTCCTCGTGGTCCCAGTCAGGAGGGTTTAAAAAATACCCTAATAAATTTTTCAAAAATTTCAAAAAAACTTCAACCAAAAAAAGGAAAAAAATATTGCTGGAAAATTTCAGGCAGTAAAGTGTATGTATGAGTAATAGAAAACATCCTTTAAGTCTGGATTCCTGGGGATTTGTGTCTTAGATAGACTTGACTTTTTTATAAAGATTCAGGTCATAACTGCAGCTTTTCTAAAAATACAGAATGTGTAATGCGGATTTTTGTACATCCTGTAACATTTGAGTTTATGTTAATCTCATCTCTTTTCCTCATTTGAGATGATACTGAATTCAATACGCTGAGTAAAAAAGTCACTTACTAAGCCTAATTACAAAGTCATTTGTTTTCCCAGAACTTAAAAGAACAGTGATTCCTTCATCAGTTTGGCTGAAAGTACCTATTAGGTTCAAATGTGGTAGTTTAAGGAAAAGAGCTTAGCAGACCGCTGTCAGTCTGATACTACGATCAGCAGGGCATAGCTGTATAACCCTTGTCTTCACAGAAAAACTGGGAAAAATAAGAATTGAAGCCAACATTCAGTCTAAACTGTGGTTGGTGGTACTGCTTCTGGGCTGGCTAGAATCTCATCATCTTTTATGGTGGGTATAAGAGGGGCAGGTCTGCTAACTTAGTGATTTTACCTGTGTCTAATGCTCCTGTAAATGAGAACAAAATCTAGACTTTAAGGTAGACCCCAGTACTTATCCCTTACTAAGAATATAATATACTGAGTGCTAGTAGGAAAAAGGAATCCCTTTGGGGATTTTTATTAATTCTACATCAATTCAAAGTTTTCTACTTCAATAAAGTTGTCCATAATGACTTATTGAAAATACAACAAGAATATTGATTGAATTTCAGTAATGTAAAAATGAAAGTACACCCACGAAAAGATGGAATCATTTGAATACTGCTAAACTACTGTAAAGCATTTGAATACAAAAATAACCAAAATGTTTTAATCATTTCTTAGGGGAAGAAACCAACCTTATAATATTTGGACTTTCTGTGGAATATTGCCATTGAGGGCAATAAATCAAATTTAGCTCTACACAGCAGAATTGGGTTTCAGGTATTGCAAAAGTAGTATTTTGAAGTTAGAACTTCAGGAGAAAGTTCTGGCAGAGCACCATTTGCCAATAAATATAAATGATCTGCAAAAATCAAATTTTTTGCTGCTTTTGATGAAGTTTCAGGGAATATCTTCTGGAGGAACACTGCAAACTGCATTGACATTTGTGGAGAAAAATATTTGGGTTTTTGTTTTGGGCTTTGGGGTTTTTTTTAAGAATCTTCTCTTGTATCAATGTTATGGAGCACGGAAAACACTTCCCTGGTTGCTCATTTGTGAGGCTGTTGGTTCCAGTTCTCACTGTACTAGATGTTTCTTTGAAACTTGCCTTTGATTGCATATCTGTTTGCCTTTTTGTCTTGGATTTTCAAGCACGCTAGCTGGATGACTTAGTCCATTTGTTTCATGCCCCAGGCTTTCAGCATCTGGTCCATTCTCACCCCGGACATGACTTTTCTGTACCTCCCACGTAGAAGTTATTCTTGACTAACAGTTCAGCTCTTCAGGGAGATATCAGGGTGAAGCAAACAAATACACAGGCTTACTCATTTTACAAGAAGAAACTATTTGAAGAAATAGTAAGATTTAGAACAGGGGAATGTGAAGCCTATCATTCTTGGTGCTGTCTTCTCAACACCTGTGTAAAAGCCACACTCCCCTCACTTGGATGTGATTTTTACTGCAAATCACAAATATTTTTTTTTTCCTGTAGTTACTTTCCCTCTACACTTCCCTATGAAAAAGTGGCTTTCTTCTCTCTTGGGTCAACCTACATTGTTTTTTTGGATTTCTTGCAACAGTGTAAAATACTTGTGTATTTTAGAAGAAGCATGTGGCATCTCAGTTGTTTTCTGCCCTAATATGTATTCCCAGACTACTTTTGACAAGTTGAATAGGTCTCATTTTTCTTAAGACATCACTCTCCTAAACCGAGATAAGTAGACTTTTTTTAAAGTATAGTTCATCAGTTCTGACATAGGCATCCAAAGCTAAAGGTGAGGCATGAGTTAGTCACTGTAAGCTCTGTGCACAGAGGGTAGTTACAAAAAAATGATTGTATAATTAATCCGGTCCTTCATCTGGCTTTTGAAATTGATTTGATGAGTTTCCCCCAGAAGTATCTGTTTCCTGTTGTTGACTGTAAAGGGAGTCTGGCTGGTAACATTGTATTTGATGCCAAATTTACATGCCTAAATTTCAATAAGATGACTCCTGCCTAGTGTGTTTAGACTTCAACAAAATAAAATTATTCTGCAATACTTTGCTTTACAGATACATTCCTCAATGTGCAGAAATTTTCTGTTTCTTTCCTATTTGAAAGGTCTTTGAAATTCCCCAAATCTTTGTGGAGTTGTCATGCTCTGCCTATCTTTTTTCTTGTATACGGTAGGTTGAAGACAGATTGCACTACTACTGATAGTCACAACCAGACGTGCAAAGATGAAACCAGAATGTCAGTCACATCAGGATTACACATGGATTGCCACCTGCAATCAGCAGTTCACATCCTGATAAGACAGAGAGGTATTTTGCATTGGCTGAAGTGTACTCAACTCCGACTTGAATATAACTGAGTACTTCGCAAAAGATAAAAATAGCAAAAGATAAAAATGCAGGTGGGAAATGCAAGGTAAAGCAAATAGTCTTTTCAGACTTCTTTTTAGCTTTCCTCTGTCTCCCCATCTTTCTGTCCTTTTCAGTGGCTGTCCTCCTTTCCAGCTGCCTCTTTCCATTGCCTTCAACACTCTGTGGAAAAGTAACTGCCTTGTGGAGGCAGTTGGTTTTGTCTGGGAACATCTGAAATTGATAGACTATACACAGAGTCATCCCCTATGTAAGCACGTGAAACAGAGCCAGAAGCCCTAAATAGACAACTAATATGCCACCTAGATATTCTTGTGTGCAAGAAACATGCCCAGATGTTTTTGGTTTCGGGGTTTTTTTTATCTCTTTGTTCATAATGTTTTAATGGAAAGGAGATGGAGATGCATTAGTGTGAAGGTCTAAAGGGAGGGTGTACAGAGATTGTGGTCATAGGTTTGTAGGATTCCCTAATGCACAAGAACATGGAGATTTTATCCTCTAAATTCCCCTACTTTATTACAGATTATCACAAATACCAGAAAATTTACCACTAGCAAGTAAGCTGACACAAAAATAAAAGTAATAAAAAAATCACCTATAGCAAGTATAGCATAACATATATAATATAATAGTATAATTATGATTAATAAAGTGAATATATACTATATAATATAATTATATATTATATATAATATAATGATATATAATATATAAAATATATACTATCTATATTACACACTTCTCTCAGCAATAGTAGTAATGTTATCAGATTGATAATACAGCATCAATAAATAATATGGCAGCAGTCAACAACAGTGGCAATCAATCACAGAGCAACAATCAATAACAGCAACTACCAATTAGGTATATATTATTACAAGTTACTATGAACTTTTCATTACTGAAGCAACTTACCAACAATGTAATACCAGATACAATAAATTATTTATATGGATTTATAATATCAGTATCAAGGGAATTGGACAGATTTCGGAAGGGGACAGACCATCCCAAAGTGGGGGGCAAACTAATCCCAAAGGTGAATCAAACCATCCCAGAAGTGAGATCACAATCTAAACCCACCCCAAAAGTGGGTCTAAAAAGGAGGACCAGTGAGATTATAGATAGAGTCTCACTTCAAAGTTGATCTGTGGCACAGAGTCTGGAGTCAGCACCCCCAGTGAGCAGTCAAGACCTCGTAGAAAGGTAATGTGGAGAATTCAACCTGTTTAGAAATGAAAAAATATGTGTGACAAGGTAAGTTGCCAGGAAGAGAGGTTCAGCTTTGAATAGAAATTAAGCTTGTTTTGTACCAGAGACATAAGAGGGCACAGAATATCATTGCTTCGAGCAACCAATTGATGCTGCAATTTCAATTTTTTGACTTGTAACACACAATTGATGATGAAATTTCCTGGTTTTTTGGAGGAATTTCTACTTTTTCCAGACTGTTTTCCACCTTTTCAGATATAAGCTGTCATTTCAGTCCCTTGTTTTTGCAATTATCAATAGTGGCTTAGGATGTGTCCTCTTCCTAGGTACACCAACTGTACTTCCAAGAGACCAGCTGCCCTTTTTAAAGATGTTTCTGGTCCATAGGCCTAGTTCCCAGGCTCAGAGCTCGCAAGCTGGCAAGTATTTTCTGTCAGCATTTTCCATCAGACATTTTCCTCTGAACAGTATTTTCCCCCTGTAACTGGGCTGCCTTTCTGGCTGCTTACAGAAATGGAACGTCTAAGCAGAAGTCTTGTTGCCAGTCTGATAACAAAACTTACAACTTCTCAGAATTCTAGTTTTGTTTGTCAGATGTTTCTTAGGTATCCCATTCATCCCAACAGATATCATCTTAAATATTTATTTTAATTTGGTCTGTATTCTGTATCATATGTGTTATTTTTCAGCACTGTAACATTTTCAGAGAAAACAACAGCAACAAAATTACAGCATTCTAGAACTGTAGAGTGGAGATTGCTTTAATTAAAAGTCACTTCTGTTCATAAGGGAACAGGCTGTGAAAAGAGATGAAAGAACACAGAGGAATTTAGGTTAAGCCTAGCATGAATATTTTGGAAGATTATAATAAATTGTCTACTTTTTTGTCACACATAATGCAAATTGTACAGCCTATGTTTGTTGAAGACTTGAGACTTTCAGGGTAGTATATGTCTATTCAGCTACTATGTAAAGGCCAGCAGTATTCCAAAAAAGGAAGCAGAATCTATACTGTGTTCCAATGCTTGTTAACCTTTTCCCTGAAGAAATATTTCCTAATATCCCATCTAAACCTCCTCTGGTACAACCATTTCCTCTTGTTCTGTCAGTTGTTACCTGGGAGAAGAGACTGACTCTCACCTGGCTAGACCCTCTTTTCAGGCAGTTATAGAGAGAGATACAGTCTCCCCTGAGCATCCATTTCTCCAGGCTAAACACCCCCAGCTCCCTCAGTCACTTCTCTTAAGACTTGTGGTCCCTTCACCAGCTCCCTTGCCCTTCTCTGGACATGGTCCAGTACCTCAATGTCTTTCCTGTAGTAAGGGGTCTAAAACTGATTTAAGGTGTGGCCTCACTGCTGCTGAGGAGAAGGGGATGATGTCTTATGTAGTCCTGCTGGACAAAAATTATATTATTTCAAAAGAGTAGTATTAATTATGGGGATAATTGTCAAAAGTGAGTTACATTTCACTTTTGTGCCCCTTAGCAGAATATCAAAAAATTACAGAAGTTTTTGGATGAGAGAGAAGAAAGATCTCTCACTTCAATATTCTTTCCCCTCCCTTCAAAGTCTTGACAGCTCGAAAAACTAGATGGACTCCTTTTCTCTAGAATTAGCCACCCATCATGCTCCATGTTAGCAATTATGACATGGCAGCATCAGGCAGCCATCACACTCCGTATCTCACAACCATACATATATTTTTCCTCTGGTTCTGGAGGTAGACATCTTGAAGTACCTGTAAACATCACTTTAGTAGCATGCAAGTGTTCCCAGAGAGAAGCTCATACCTGGAATTAGCTGCTGCACATCAGTCAGTAAGATAATGCTTAAAAGCACAATTCACAGATCACTGATATTATACTGACAGATTATTCAGCAATTTAAATTTCATGCGTCTCAGGCATGAACATGTGACCATGTTTCTTTCTTTCCTTTCATTTCAGATTTTATAATTTTTGACAGAATTAATAAAAACCCAAATAAGTCATGGAGAAATTAAAGATCAGCCATAGATCTAGGACGCTTTTTAGAGCAACTACTCTGATGGTGAAGCAGATTTGTAATGAAGAAGACTGATTATATCTGAGTGTTTTGGTGGGTAGAAGACAATTACTTCTGTTGCTGTGAAGTCAAAGAACTAGTCAGAGTTGTAGAGTTAGTTGTGGTGCACAGAATAATGACCAGAGAAGGCTGAAGAACATTTGTGGTTGGTTTTGTTGGCTTAAAGAAGATCTCTTGTAGCATCAAAAGGCAATATCATCCTGTACTTTCAGCATACTCAAATCAGTTTATTGATTAGCTACGTAGCTAATTTTTGGAATAAGATTTCATGCAAGTCATGGCATACAGAACACACTGCTTTAGAGATTCATGGTGAGGACATGTTCGATTCACTGAATCACTGACCGAGTAATTATGGAGCACTCTAACAAGACTAGACAACACTAAGAAAATACACTGAGCTACTGATGAAAAATAAAAACCAAACCAAACCAAACAATAAAAAACCAGAGCTACTGCTGTTTATTAGAAATGTGTAAGATGTTTGGAAAAACCTTAAGGAGCACTTTGTGGTGATGACCTGTTGACCATAGCCATTTAAATAATTCAGCAAGCTGCCTAGGAAGGGTGGTTGAGCAGAGAACAGTTAGAGAACTGCAAAAGGTAGGCTCTGAGAATTGTGAATGTATTAGACATGCAGGCATATGTGCTGTAGTTTCTGGTATACGTGAAAGGAAGGTTTAGGGCTGTGCTGCAATACCAGAATGAGCTTTTGCTTGTACCTATAGCTGAAAGGAATATTGACTCAATAAGCACACAATTGTGTTGTAAGAGTTTAGTACATGAATGGAAGCAGTGGAAGCAAGAGAATGCATACTCTTGGTCTGTGTCGGTCTGAAAGGTAGATGTTCAAAAGGAAAACCCAAGAGCAGGGCTAGTTGTGCTCCTTGTCCAAATAACACCCACACACATCTGTATATCTGCATCCAACCCTCCTTTTGCAACGCTTTCCACTGCCTAATGGTCCTGCTTTTCAGACTTTTGCTTTCTGTAGTCTGAAAACTGATGAATCACAAAATAACCAAAAAGGTCCTTTCCCCCAGAGAATGATAAAGAGCCTCCCTAGAGGTATGGAAGGCAATGTTGCAGCATCATGTTTTCCCTGAAGTCATTGCTCTTTCTGCAGAGGAAGAAGAGAATATATTGGTTTTGGAAGAGCTAAAGAAAATAATCAAATATATGAGGTTGATTCATTACCAGTTTTGTGTTTGCATTGTTAAATTTTAAAATATCCTACATACATTATATGCTAATTTAGTATAATGGCAAAATAATGTTAATATTAAGTCAGACTTTGTTATTACAGTGTTCTTACTTTCTCTTTGAGATTACAGATTCCTTTCGTAAGCAATGATCCATATATTTATTGACATGTGCTGTGTTCTAACTAGACAATTTCATTTCTAGTATTGAATTTTTCTTTAAAGCTGTTGAAATTTCTCAGTGTTTCTTACCAATTTAATGTCAGCAAAAATTAAACAGTGCATAGTACCTTCTTATAGTATTAGATGGTTTTCAGTGTGATGTTCTAAAGGTTAATATCACTAAAAATATTGCATTACTTATGTGACTGTATAATAAAATCACAATTACTATGCACTTGTGGTATTGGGCTAAATTGAAATGTTGAACGTAATAATCCATTCACTCCCCAGAAAGGGTCAGTGACTAGTCTTACAGTTAACACTGAGCATCTTACCGATCTGCATGATTAAACAACTGCTAATTTCCCTACTGCCTCTGGTCTGGAAGACTAATCTCTTTATTAACTTTCTAAAAATAAGTTGCCATTACAAGAAGCTTGGTACTTTATTAGAAAGGCACCTGCTTGTGCATCCAATATTTTATCATCTCAGATTTCATCTCCAGACATTGCGTTAATTGGTACATAACATAACGAGATATGAAGGGTTCTCAATCTGAAAAATGATGGATCACATTGGAAATATTCAGGGAATGGGAGGAAGGAAATTCAGATGGATGAACCATGTTACTGGCATACCAAACCTGTAGTTAGTTTTGGTGTGTTTTGTACGTGACAGAATGGGTATTAACATGTATACGACTACATTTCTTTATATACCAGTTGGTAGTCCCATTTGGAAAGACTGTTGAGGAAAAAAGGCATATTTCTAGAATGATGTTATCTTGTTGTGGTAGCTGAAGTGCCCAGTCTAAATTAGGGCCCAGCTGTGCTAAGCTGTGAAGCTGCAGCAATAAAATCACCCCATCTCTGAAGAAGTGGAATCCAAAGGAACTGAAAAAGACATAACTGAGATGGGTGATGAAGAGGGAAAAAGCAAAGAAGCATAGAGGGGCAGAGTCAATATATAAGAAAGGTAAAGTTTTGCATTAGTTTAGAATTTGGGAATTTCATTGACTTTCGGAAAAGAAAGTGAAGCTGCCAAGTTAATGGTCTTCCAAGAGTGTCATGTATGTCTTCAGGCTTCTGTTGTCATTCAATTCTTTCACAGGATTTTTGGTTAGGTTTTTTTTTTACAGCAAACAGAAAGACTCCCAGAATCTATAAGGGGGTTAAATTTCAGTACAAGTGCTTCCTGCTGTAAAGTTCTACCTGTGTTTTTTAGATCCTCCAGTTTCTCTTGGATTTACTAGCAAAATTAAGAAAAGAGCAAATGAGAAGAAAATAGCTCTACAGGATACCTGTGATACATAAAAACCTATTAAAAACATTTGAAATGTGCTATAATTAGTAATAATTAGCAAATGAATACTGAGTAAAGATCAGACTAGATTTTTTTTTATAACTCTAAATGAAAGCTGTTATCCAGAAAGATCAAAGGCTGTCTTTTTCCTTGAGTTCATGCCGTATAAATCTTGTGTATGTGTGCTTTGTGCTTAGAAAGACAGCTTCAGCCACACTCATCTATTTACTCTGATGAAGAAAACTCAAACCTTTCTTCAG